GTGTTGATTTGCGTCGCTGGCAGTCAGGACAGCACTGCACGAATTTGCATACAAAATTGTACATGCCGCGCCAGTAATAGCGATGGCGAAGGCGTTCATATGTTTTGAACACTACAGGCGTGGCCGAATTGCGGATCGTCGTGAAGAGAGGCGCATACTTGCGATCGTAAAGTGCGTGGAATGACCAGCAGCCACCGGCGGCCATCGGGAGCGTAGTTGCGTCGATGAAGAAGTTGATCGCGGATGGCGAATCGGAGAGCTTGACGTAGGAGGGATCGAGATACTGGAATGTTGGGCGTGCCAGATAAATATTCGATAAGAGAGGCGATCCACGGGTCACGACGTTGTTCGGTGGCAATCGAGTCGAGATTTAGCGATGACAAGGTCTGGAGGCAAATGTTTCCGCACGTCTGATCTGGTGGTAAAGGTGAGCGGGACAGGGTATCAGCGTCAGAGTGTTGCGTCCGCAGCGGTATACGACGCGAATGTCGTACTCCCAGATGCGGAGTGCCCATCGCGCAAGGCGGCCAGAAGGGTCTTTCAACGTGGAGAGCCAGCAAAGCGCGTGGTGATCAGTTACTAGATCGAACGGGCGGCCGTATAAGTACGGCCGGAACTTTCGAAGTGCCCACACCAGAGCCAAACACTCTTTTTCTGTCACGCTATAATTAGTTTCGGCTTGCAGCGCAAGGATGGGAGCAAAAAGGGCGTCCACCCACTCACTCTGAGACATGTTGGTGGACTGAGGTTCCAAGCGGCGGCCTAAACGGAGCTCCACCGAGTAACGTTGTGAGGAGAGAACCAGGATCGTCAATCCACCTTTCATCACGTATGACGACTCGATTGTAACGAGGTTCATTGGCCGTGAACTCAAAAACGAACAAGCGCAACGAACCCAAAGATGAAGTGCACGTTCAAAGACGATGATGACTGTCAGCCAGAACAGGTGATGATGATTGACTGCTGTCCAAATGAGGATGAAGTACATAATGGGTGCCTACAATATATATAACTTGTGCTAAGCGTTTCTTACGTTACTCGCATTTTATACGGCACAATATATCATTGTGTGATATTTTTTTATGTTCTCTGTGTTACGCTGGTAGTTATGTTTAACTCGTTGTGTAAAACATGAACATTTAGTTCTCCACGTATGTGGGCTTGCCGAAGTGAAGAATGACACGATTGTTCTTGCAGTGGTCTTTGTGAAGTCCACATGCAAATTGGAGCATCAAAATATTAGTAAAAGAAATTTACAGCAGCCATTTTACTGTGTTTTCACTGCAAGTAGTTTTTTTTTTTTTTCAGAAATTATCTTTCACGTGTAGCAATATTCCTTAGGCTAGAGCTATTGCCTCCAAGATGGCGTGCGTGCACTCTGTTTTTCTCTGGCCGTCCCAATCACCAGCAAAACCAGTGAGTATCGCCTTGTGCGCCCAGCTACCGCCAGAGGAAGCACTCACTGTGGGTTCCGGTGGCGGTGGAGACAGCAGAGCGCAAAGGATTCTAGTGTGCGCATGGTTTTTTTCCACATACGAGCAAGAGTCATTGCCAGAATGTTCTGGCTGCACCAAAGAGAAGCATTTTTTTTTTCGTTACTGCATTTATTTATTCCGATTTACAAAGAAAAGCATGGCAACTGCTGAATTTTCGTGATATATATTGTTGTAAGGTAGTATCGATTCGTCTGTGGCAGTATTACTTTTTTTTTCATTAAGTCTATTTTTTCTCGGTGTTAAATATCTTGATTTGAGAAATATAGATGCACTGTAGCATTCCTCCTTTCTGGCGACATGTATCGGCGGAAACTAGGCTAGTTATTATCGTTGAATCATATTGCTCTCTTATCGTGAGACATCGTTTCACTATTTTATCATGTACAAACATTTGTGAAGTGGTCAACCCAGGCACCCTGTGAATAACTGAGTGCTGCGGTCATGTAACTGAGGCAAAATGATAAGTAATTTTGCTGGAAGATTGCAGAAGGCTTTGATTAGCTGACCAACATTTACTTCCCACGTCTTTCACAATGAAAGTACCCGAGTTGTCGTTGTCTCCTTTTTCATCATCTGTATTTCGATTATGTTTGGATAGCACAGTGGCCATATCAGTATTGTGTCGATTTACTGTACTCTCTATTGCATCCAAATCAAGGGTCGGACATGCAGCAGTACGGCATCTTTCTGACGAAAACAAAATATTGCTCAGTGTAAACTACCTAAAGAAATGAAATCACATCATATCCACAAATTGATTAATGATGAGTGGGGCAAAGCTTCGGAGGGTTTTATCAGTAAATCGTGAATCGTCCATCCGTCTGTCTGTCAGTCTGTTCATCCATCATCTATCTGTCTGTCTGTCCATCTGTCTGTCTGTCCATTCATTTGTTTGCACCTGCTGAGTGAGTCGTCAAACTAAGCGGTAACTTTGGGAATAAAAGGAACAAACCACGGCTTTAGGAGCTATGCCCCTAAATTTTCAAATCGTCACTGCTACATAAGGAGCTGTGTTTCATACCAGGTACACCAACTCTGAATGCGTTTTACGTTCTGCAACATGCAAAAGTTTGTGATGTTTGTTCTTCCATTGCCCAACGTTGACCACCGTAAAACTCAAAGTGTGAATGTACGACCATATTTGACCAAAATGCGTCTATGACCTGCCGGTGGTCATTGCAGAACCGCAACGTTCATATTCTAGACGTATGTCAACTGCCTGCACCCTCCTCCCCGTCTCCCGCTTCTGGAACACGACGACAGGTAGCTGGGAAGAAATTTTTTGAATGAAAGAGGGTAAAGTGCGAGGTTTAGTGACGCAGTAACTGTCTCTCCGGTGAGAACACCACAACGGCGACACTGGGAGGAGAAAGGGGAAAATGGTAGGGGAAGAATTAGAGGGGAGTGAGAGGCATTGGAGTGGGAAGGAGGGGTAGTATAACAGAGGATTGGGAGCACACATGCACAAGTCAAGGTTCTCGCTGTCATTTTCAAGCTGAGTCTTGCATGGTCTATAGTTCGTCGGTCAGTTGCGCAGCTTTGATGAAGTTGAGCACAGAGCGCACATAATAGCTCGATCCTATCGGGTGGAGAATATCGTCCACTGTAGCAAAGAAAGAAAAACTGTGGATGCCTCGCAGGCGAGTGGGAAGTGTGGTGCGATCACGGCTTTCGCGCCAGCTGTGACTTTATCAGCGCGTCTGCAAGAATTATTGAAAAGCTCTTTCACTGAAAAGTAGTGCTAGTTCCATGAAAAGGAAAAAGAGCCCATTTATTTGAGTGTAACCCGTGAGTGCAAAAGTGGCACTTGTCTGCCTTTGCTTGCGAAGCGGGCTGTCTTTTTTTCTTCACCAATGTGCCCCATTCTTTATAGCCTGCAATCTTTGAAGTATAGTAAGTTTTCAGCACATACAAATCTCTTGCAGAGGCATTGCAGGCAGCTATAATATGGGCGGCGCAAACTTACGGCAAAAAAAAAAAAAAGCACACCAGAGAATATATACACCCCAGTATTGACGCTGCCTTGCATACAGCTCGACTCGACATTTCCAAATGAGCACGAAGTTTTATAAAAGTGAGAAACCTATATTTTTTTCGACCCATTCAAGCTGCGCCAATAGTGCGACAGTTTTTTTTCATTCTTTGTGGGAGCGCCGCAGTGTGAAGAAAAACGTGCACCACACCGACTTCTGGAAACGCACCTCTCTTTATGTGATTGGGACAGCCAGAGAGAAACGCACCACAAGCCCGCTATCATAACGGCCATGCTTGAGGAAACGTACCTTAACTACACTGAAAATAGAAATGCGCAGCTCATTGATTATCAAATCTCACTATGACTTTGCGCCTAATTTACTGCGCAATTTATTACACGTGGTTGAAATTCTGAACCACATTTTGAAGAAAAATGGCAATCTGATGCATAAAAATGTAGTTTACTGTACAATTCGGTTAACTCGGCACACTTTTGTGCACCTAACAAAAACACTCAGAACTAGGTGTTGTGCATCTAAAATTGCACCTAAAAAGTCTCAATATGCAAATATCCGATTGTCCCAGTCCATGACTGCTTGAAAGTCGTCGAGCTATTCTTCGATGCCCTCCAGTGCGTCTTCGTGGAAAAGTATTGTTGTTCGTATGGTAAAGGAGCGGCTAAGATGTTTCGCGTCTGCTCTTGATTATCCTGTTGGGCATTATTCTCTATGTTAAAGCATTTAACTTAAAACTGACTCCAGAGCGCTTCAGCTGAGGCATACCTTGATGAGTGTGTGGAGAGAGGGCCGAGACAGCAACTGAAGCAGTGACTACCTCTTGCACCTGGTTCGAAGTGCTTTTACAAGGCTAGGATGCTGATGGTAGTTGTTGAGCGCGGGATACTCGTGTGATGACATCGTTTGAATATCAACCAGGGAGGGAGAATTAGGGAGTTTCAGAAAACAAGGAAAAATATTGCAGGATGCTTGAGCTTCATCTACACCGCGACTGAGCAATCGGGCCTCGTGCAACACTGCCTTCTCGACTGCTACCTGGCTTCTGTTCTTGGCGCATGCCTGAACGCCACCGCAAAAAAATACTTGAGAGGATATTGTTTAAATAACAACTATGAAGTCAAATGTTCATCCTAGACTTGTTTAGAATTGGTAAACGCCTTGTTCGAGAGTGTTGGAACGCACCAATGGCTGGGGATCATTCGATGTCACATTTCCTTCGTTGCTTCAGATAATGCTGGGCATGTTGCCTAGCCATCCTGTGGTGACACATAGAAGAAGCTAAGGCTCATGCGTCGGCTTTTATCAGCAGGTGGAGGTTCTAATAGAGCACACCGCGCTCAACGCGGCAGAATGGACCATCGGGATAGGTCGCTGCAATCGTATTCAGTGGCTTGATGGTGCAGCTGTTTGTCTTATGCCCTACCAGTGACGATACATGCTTTTTGCACACTATCTTAGAATGCCCTTTGCAACAGTGTTCTTACTATCTTTCTTTATGCACTTTTTTTTGCAGATTTTGCCTTGCGCTGCATTATGGAGACAACAGGGCAGCCAAGAAATGCAGACAGCAATGACCTATTGTAAGTAATACTCATAGGATAATTGCTTCATAAGTATTCAAAATATTACTTTGAATATTGCCCATTTCTTGAAATAATGCTTTCGCATTTCTCTTGTAGAAAAAATTACGTCGTAGAGGAATTCAGCAGTCGAGTAGGTAGAGTTCGTGCTTGTTTTACTTGACAGTAAAACAGCTTTGAGAATTAACAGGGCTCAAAGGCATCACTTCCTCAAATTTCCCTGTATATTTCCAGGGTACCTAGTGTTATTACAGTACTATTCTCGTACTTATGGTTCCGTGGGTATGCAGGGTAAGCGTATTGCATTTTTATTCATCAGTATTACTAAAAAATTCACGCATATCCACGAAGTGAATGCTGGTGATAGGGCGAAGCACTAAGCATCAGATTGTGAGTACCTGTGAAATAATTATAAATTGTTTATGAGACATATATAAAGGAATGAGTGAGCTTTTGAACAGCAAGCACGCATATTTTTCTTTATGCTCTCTTGTTTACGGCTTCTACTAGCAGTTTCACGCCTTTGCCCGTGAAGCTCCTTTCAGTGCTGCAAAATGTCAAAAGACATGAAAACTCCTTCAGGAGTGATGTCATGGAAACAAGGAAGCCTCAAGACCAACAGCAGGAACTGCTGGAAGACCAGCACAAAGAATAAAAAATTACAGCCATATTCTCAAAGTGAATGATCTTAAAGGAGCTTTCTCGAAAGTGCATGGGATGTTTCTTCACGAAAGCATTCCTGTAGGAAGGCTTGTTAACAAGCCAGCACCTGGTGTGTACGCCGAAAGCAGTGTTGAGCACGTTCCGCAGCAAGCACTGCACAGCATTGGCCACATCAATCGTCACATTAACCACCGGCCCCTTTATGCTATACTGGCCACTGCTATGAGACGAATGCCCAACGCTCATAGATGGCTGACTGGGAACTATCAAGCATTCTTAAACGAAGCTGCCTAATGGTTTTTTGAGGGCAAAGCTCTTTTTAGTGAAACCTTGTCCTGCATCAGGCGTAACTGGCAGTATTAGACAGACAGACAGACAGACAGATAGATTGACCAATCAACAAACAGACGGACGCACAAATGGACAAACGGACGGAAGCATTGACGGAAGCATGGACGAATGGAATGACGAATGCCCGGACGAAAGCAAGGTTGGACCCACAGACGGACACACAGATAAATAAACAGACAGTCGATTCGCCCCACTTATCATCATTCACTCCGTATATATGCTATGATTTTTTTTCTATCCTCCCGGCTCCCAGGCAGCAGGAGAGAAACACTGCTGACACCCTCCTCTTTTCCTTTCTTTCACATTCTTTTCTCTCCCCCACTATCCATTTCCAGTGTCAGGTTGTTGAGGCGACCTCCTGAGAGAGAGACAGTCATGGCGCCGCATTTTTCTCTTCATTTCACTTTCTTTCAAAGCCACTTCGAGGAAGCAATATGTCTTTGCAGGCTAGTTGGTTCATACGTGAAGACTTTGCTTGCTGTGCAAGCTGAAGGAAAACAAGAAAGGGACAAGAAAGAGCGCACTTTGCTGTCCTTCTTTTCGCGCTATTTCCTGCACTTTTTCTTGCCTTCTTTCTCGTTTTCCTTTAGCTTGTGCAGCAACCGAGTCTTCACGTATGAACCAACTAGTCCAAGTATAAACGAACTAGGCTGCAAGAAAGCATTGCTTCAACAAATTTCTAGTTCGGCGAGCTCTTTCATAGGTTTCTTAAAAAAGCCATGGGCTGCTATGGTTTGCGTGGACCTTCTCGCACAGTCTATTTCCACGTCTCCATATCTGTCTTACTGCATGAAGAAGAATTACGTACCAATCGAGGTGAGAGCACTTTTTGGCGTTCTTGAGCAACTGTGGGGCCACGCCAAGAGAGTTTGTAAGCTGGTAAAGTAAGAATCATGAAGACAAGTGCGCTTCTACCTTCACTAGCTCAGGGTCGTACTACAAGGGTATTGTTGTCATGATACAGATTAGCAGCAGTTCGCAAAGTACAAAAAATAATGCGAATCAGATGGTGGAGCTCCTGTGGCGAAACGTCTGGTCTACCTTCCCTGCAAGACTACGAATGGCTTCAGCAGGCAATGCTGTCGCTTACCTGGGAGACGCATAGATTCCTGGAGCATCGGAGCATGTCCTCAAAAAAGTCCCGAATGCAGCTTTAAACTCCGTTCAACACGCACTGAACTTTTGTGCCATGTGCATCTATTCGGCCTACATGGACAAGAAGAGGACCAGCAGAGGGCCATAGGGGATGGAATAGACTGCCTGGTTAAAACTGCGACGGACCAGCACGTTTCTAGGCCTCACTTGAGGATTAAAAAAAATTTGATCGTTTTCACCTCAGACAAATATGGCGGGTTCGTGGTTCTACGTGAACGAACGTAGGCGACCAAGACTCCAGAAGCAGTGAATAACTTAAAGAAATTGCATTTTTGTTTGAAAAACGAAAAACTGCAGCTCGAAGACTGTTGAAAAAAAATGAACCTTCAAGCGCTCTGCATAGAAGTGGCAAAAGCAGTAATTGTGATGCTCCAAATTTTTCACTGGCAAGATGCACAAATGTGGCTACCTGCTATGCCTCAGTGTGTCTGAGAAGGGCAGCTGGCAGCGGACAGTGTCACAGTACCCACAGGCTATTCGGCGCGAGGACATACAGTGGCGCCACCATACGGAGCTATTCCTTTGATGTGCGTAGTTGGATTGCTCCGCCGCCCTCTCGCGCACAGCCCCCAGCACCTTTTGCATCTCCTTTATTATTATTATTATTCTTATTGTACTCTACTCGACGAAATCAGTAAGATACTGTTGCAGCTTCTTCACTCACTGTACAAAGAGCTAAATAACTGACCCGAAAAGTGTTACATTTCTCATAATGCCTGACGGCCAGTGTCGTCTGCGATGGCCACCTAAATAAGAACCACGGGCACTGAGCGTGCTGCTTTTTTAAAGGTAACGGCTCATTGCATGTTCTACTGAAGCATTAATTGGGCATAAATGGTAAAGAAACTTATTTTTGGTGCAAGAAATAATTTCATTTTCATTTTCATTTATTGGTACTGTCAGCCCTTTGCGGGCTATTACAGGAGTGGAGTTGACTCATATAAAACAGAAATGTGCATAAGAGAAACATAAGAAAAAGAATCTTCACTACTGGAACAAATCATTTCAGAGCACATACAACAAATATATCATAATGGCTAAGCATATAGTTTACAGAGAAGTTAGTGAAAAATAAGAAAAGAGAGCATCACTGCCGAAATACACATCATATTTTGCGCATAATAAAACACATAATAAATATCATAGCCTAGTTACAAAGCACGTAATTCACACATATTCACAATCTTAGCACATGGTATCTGAGTGCACTATATGTTTTATTGCTTCTAAAAAGTCGGTAAGCGATTTGATTTTCACAACCGAATCTGGTAATGAATTCTACTGCTGAATCGCCCTGGGGAAGAAGCTGTACCTGAAACAGTCATTATGAACTTTGGGGCGCGGTATGTACATACTGTGTGTCTTGACGTTTCTTGTGTTTTGATATCAAAGTACCTGCAGCTACGCTGCTTCATTCATTGGATGCAATGAATGAAGAATGCATGCAACCACGCTGCTTCATTCATTGTAGCTTCGCTTCTAAGGAATGGCCACGGTTGACATGACAAGCATGCACAAATTTACATTTTTGTTTAGCACACATAGCCCTACGAAACAAAGCGCAAGAGGATTCTCCGCTTTATGGGAAGCAACACTGCATTCTTACATCTGTATGCAGCCGCAGTCTCTGGTGTGATTGTGAGCAAACTTGAGAATCACGCACGCGCATGTCTCATTCAGAGTTGTAACTTTTCTCTGTGGCACGATCCCAATATTTATTGTGCAAAGTTTCTACGGTAGTCATACGTTACACATTTGAACGCCATCAACCCGCACGTGGGTGAAAATCATGAATGATTGGTTCAGTTCGAGAGCTTCTACAAAGAGGTAGAACATAATAAAAATGTGATCAGCCAGCCGTGTCATTTTGCATCCTTAGGCACTTTTAGCTGACCGATTTTGTGCTTCATTTCTCGCTCAGCTCAAATGCTCAGCGTTACCGGAACACAACGCAGGTTTTCAGGTTTAGCCAAGCGCCGTTCGGTCAATGCAATCGCGACGCCAACAGTGCATGAAAGTTGTTGTAAAGGAAAATAAAAATTGTTCTTATTTTGCAGCAAGATAGAAAATTTTGTTTTAAAAGAGTGTGGAATCATTTACTTTTTGACGCATGAGCATTTTTTTTTCTAAAATCAAAGCTTTCCAAGGCAGCCCAATTGTGTCTCTAATGCCCTGTCCTGAGGCAGCGCATTCACTGCGTTGCCTTGTGGCAAATCAAACTAAGGGCTTTTTCGAACAGGTGGAAGAGTTCCTGCTGTTAAAAACTAAATTGTTACTATTGTTACAGAAAATCGCTCACTATCGAAGATTCACAAAGTTTCTTTGACGGAAGTACCAAAGAAGCATTTTGAGACACTTCTTCATGGTCCGAAGTGTCAGGTCTGGATCGTTTCATGGAACTCCACCCCATATGCACAAACTCGCAAAGCGATTGCCTGCGATGGCTTCTCGAAGGAGGCACAGATCTTTTTGTGTCCTGCAGTGTCACCGCCGCTTGAATTTTTGCTGAACAACCACTGCGTTTTCCGAGCAGCTCGGACTTGGAGCACAAGAGACTGTCATTTTAGTCGTTTCTCCTCGCGTCACGTGATCCTTTACTCGCTATGACAGTCTGCTCACACGCTTAGCGTGTGATCGTCTAGCACATATGCAGTGGCGCAACTACTGACTGGCTAAGCGGAGTGGGAGACAAAAAATGATCAGCGTAAAGTGCTTGAATGAGCACGCTGCGAGGTCTTGCTTACCGTGACCTAAATGGCAATTTAATGTTTCAGTAAAAGTGCATGTGTCCAGTTTTTTTTTTTCTCACAGCTTTATTCATAAGCTGTGTC